CCACATTTAGAAAGATTCAAATGTACCCTTGTAAGATGGACCCTAGGTGTGGTCCCAACAATCACCCTCCCTCCACCCATCCTCCCCCCTCCCCTCTCCTCCCTTTCCCCCTTCCCCGTATTCTTGGGCTATAATTGGGCTATAGCTTTCATATGAAAGTTATGAATTAGTTTCATAGTAGGGCTGAGTACATTGGATACTTTTCCTTCCATTCTTGAGATACTTTGCTAAGAAGAATATTTTCTAGCTCCATCCATGTGAACATGAAGGACGTAAAGTCTCCATCTTTCTTTATGGCTGCATAGTATTCCATGGTGTACATATACCACAGTTTGTTGATCCATTCATGGATTGATGGGCACTTGGGATTCTTCCATGATTTAGCAATTATGAACTGGGCTACAATAAACATTCTGGTACAAATATCTTTGTTGTAATGTGATTTTTGGTCTTCTGGATATATATCTAGTAGAGGAACTGTAGGATCAAATGGCAGGTCTATTTTTAGTTCTCTAAATGTTCTCCAAATATCTTTCCAAAAGGGATGTATTAGTTTTCATTCCCACCAGCAGTGTAGAAATGTTCCCTTTTCTCCACATCCACGCCAGCATCTCTGATTTTGGGATTTGGGGATGTGGGCTAATCTTACTGAAGTTAGATGATATCTCAAAGTAGTTTTGATTTGCATTTCTCTGATGATTAATGATGATGAACATTTTTTCATATGTCTGTAGGCCATGCGCCTGTCTTCTTCAAAGAAGTTTCTCTTCAAGTCCCTTGCCCACCCTGAAATGGGATCACTTGTTCTTTTCTTGGTAATATGCTTGAGTTCTCTGTGGATTCTGGTTATTAAACCTTTGTCAGAGACATAACCTGCAAACATCTTCTCCCATTCTGAGAGTTGTCTGCTTGCTTTACTTACTGTGTTCTTCACTGTGCAGAAGCTTTTTAGTTTGATCAGGTCCCAGAAGTGTATTTTTGATGTTGCTTCAATTGCCTGGGGGGGGGGTCCTCCTCATAAAATTTTTACTCAGGCCAATTCTTCAAGCGTTTTCCCCACACTTTCTTCTAGTATTTTTATAGTTTCATGTCTTATGTTTAAATCTTTAATCCAGTGAGAGTCTATCTTAGTTAATGGTGAAAGGTGTGGGTCCAGTTTCAATCCTCTACAGGTCACCAACCAGTTTGCCCAGCACCATTTGTTAAATAGGGAATCTTTTCCCCACTCAATGTTTTTAATTGGCTGTCAAAGATCAGATAACAGTAAGTAGCTGGGTTCATCTCTTGGCTTTCTATTCTGTTCCATACATCTACCTCTCTGTTTTTGTGCCAGTACCATGCTGTTTTGATCACTATGGATTTATAGTATAGTCTGAGGTCCGGTAGTGTGATTCCTCCTGCTTTGTTTTTTTTCTGAGTAACATTTTGGCTATTTGAGGTTTTTTCTAATTCCATATACAACGAGGTATTGTTTTCTCGAGATCTTTAAAGTATGGGCTTTAAAGTGGGGCTTTAATAGGGATTGCATTCAAATTATATATTGCTTTGAGTAGTATGGACATTTTAACAATCTTGGTTCTTCCCAGCCATAAGCATGGTATGTTTTTCCATTTCTTAACATTTTCAGCTATTTCTTTTCTTAGAATTTCATAGTTCTCTTTATAGAGATCTTTCACATCCTTTGTTAGGTAAACTCCCAAATATTTCATCTTCTTTGGCACTACTGTAAATGGAATAGAGTCCTTGACTGTTTTTTTCAGCTTGACTATTGTTGGTATATATGAAAGTTACCAATTTATGAGTGTTGATTTTGTAGCCTGAGATGCTGCTATATTCCTTGATCACTTCTAAGAGTTTTGTAGTAGAATCCCTGGTGTTTTCTAGATATACAATCATATCATCTGCAAAGAGTGAAAGTTTAATCACTTCTGACCCTATATGGATACCCTTGATTGCCTTTTCTTCCCTAATTGCGATGGCTAAAACTTCCATTACAATGTTAAAGAGAAATGGAGACCATGTGCAACCTTGCCTCATTCTTGATCTGAGTGAAAATTATTTCAATTTAACTCCATTCAATATGATATTGGCTGTAGGTTTGCTGTAAATGGCCTATATCAGTTTAAGAAATGTCCCTTCTATACCAATTTTCTTAAGTGTTCTGATTATGAAGGAATGCTAGATATTATCAAAAGCTTTTTCTGCATCAATTGAGAGAATCATATGATCTTTGTTTTTTAATTTGTTTATGTGATGAATTATATATATGGATTTACATACGTTGAACCAGCCTTGGGACCCTGGGATAAAACCTACTTGGTCTTGTTGTATAATTTTTTTGATGTGTTGCTGGATTCTGGTGGTTAGGATTTTGTTGAATATTTTTGCATCAATATTCATTAGTGATATTGGTCTATAATTTTCTTTTCTTGTTGGGTCTTTTCCTGGTTTGGGGATCAAGGTGATGTTTGCTTCATAGACTGTGTTGAGTAGTATTCCTTCTTTTTCCATATTTTGGAAAAGGTTGAGTAATATAGGTACTAGTTTCTCTTTAAAGATTTGATATTCTGACACGAAGCCATCTGGTCCCGGGCTTTTCTTCTTAGGGAGATTTTGTATAGTTGATGCTATTTCAGAACTTGATATAGGCCTATACAACATTTTCACTTCCTTCTGGCTAAGTCTTAGAAGGTGGTGTGCTTCCAAGTATTGGTCGATTTCCTCCATATTTTTATATGGAGGATTCCATAGGGAATTGGGATTTCATAGGGATTGCATTCAAATTATATATTGCTTTGAGTAGTATAGACATTTTAACAATCTTGGTTCTTCCCAGCCATAAGCATGGTATGTTTTTCCATTTGTTAACATTTGCAGTTATTTCTTTTCCTAGAATTTCATAGTTCTGAGAAATTCCATACATCTGGGAATAAAGTTCTGAGAATAAAATTTCTTGTAATATTCATTATGGATTTTTTGAATTTCTAAGGGGTCTGTTGTTATTTCATCTTTACCATTTCTGATTGATAAAATTAGAGATTTTACTCTTTTTTTCCTGGTTAGGTTGGCCAAAAGTTTATCAATTTTGTTGATTTTTTCAAAAAACCAACTTTTTGATTTATTAATCTGTTGTATAATTCTTTTGTTTTCAATTTCATTTAATTCTGCTCTAATTTTGGTTATTTCTTTTCTTCTGCTGGATTTTGGATTGGAATGGTCTTCCTTTTCCAGCTTCTTGAGATGTCCCATTAAGTTCTTAACTTACTCTCTTTCCATTCTTTTAAGGAAGGCTTGCAGTGCTATAAATTTCTTTCTTAGGACTGCCTTAGCGGTATCCCAGAGGTTCTGATAATTCATGTCCTCATTATTGTTTTGTTCCAAAAAAATTTTAATTTCCTTCTTAATCTCATCTCTGACCCACTTATCATTCAGCATAAGGTTATTTAGCTTCCATGTTTTTGTATGAGTCTGCAGAATCCTGTTGCTACTGAGTTCGATTTTTATTCCCTGATGGTCTGAGACGATGCAAGGAATAATTTCTATTCTTTTAAATTTGCTGAGGTTAGATTTGTGACCTAAGATGTGATCGATTTTGGGGTATGTTCTATGGGATGATGAGAAAAATGTGTATTCAGTTTTTTTAGGATGAAATGTTCTGTAGATGTCTGTTAAATCTAAATGTTGGATGGTTAAGTTTAAATCCAAAATTTCTTTGGTCAACTTCTTATTGGAAGATTTATCCACCACTGCCAAAGGAGTGTTGAAATCTCCAACTATGATGGAGCTAGAAGAAATCAAGTTGCTCATGCCTGTTAGAGTGTCTCTTATAAATTGAGATGCATTCTGGGTGCCTAAATAAATTGAAATCTCATCATATTGAGTATTACCCTTAACAAATATAAAGTGACCATCCTTATCCTTGCTTACTTTTGTTGATTTAAAGTCTATTGCATCTGCAAATAAATTTGCAACACCTTCTTTTTTCTGCTTTCCATTTGTCTAGAATATACATTGCCTAGAATATGACCATCCCTTCACCCTGAGTCTATATTTATCTTTTAAGGTAAGATGAGATTCTTGTATGTAGCAGATATCTGGCCTGAGTTTTTGTATCCAATAAGCCAATTTGTGCCTCTTTAGGGGACAATTTAAGCCATTCACATTAATTGAGAATATTGATAAGCCTACTAAAATTTTGGGTATCGAGTTTTTTGAAAGTCAAGTGGTCATTTTTAATCCTTTTGCCACTATGGAAATTGATCAAAAGTTTCTGAGTGAGTTTCTTTTGTGGT